CTTTCGTAGGCCATCAGAAAAATGTCTGCGGTCGTGGTGGGAATCGAACCCACTACCGGTAATCCATCGTGGATAGAACATTGGCGCTCTAACCACGAGGCTACGCTGGAATGATTACGGATAATTTCTTGTGTCTAAACTATTCATTATCAGAATTTTGAATCTTGAACCACCCTGTACTTGTTTTAATCAAATGTAGAGATATGGACATGAAAGCTGTTTTGACCGATAATGAATTTTATTCGACACAAAAAAATCCTAGTAGAAAAATCTTGAACACCCTATATATCTCTGTAATCATTCCTACTAGACCTCAAGTGTGATGCATTGATTAAATCGTCTCTTCAGGGAGAATCTAAAAATGCAATGGAATATTTTCTATCTGAAAATCGAAAGTTGATGCTCGTTTCGCTTCAAGGTTTTAACTTCGGGATATGATCGTTGCAGAAAAATGTGTTCAACGCCAAATCAAAATCGAAAGTAGAACACCTGTCCATAAGCCCCCTTGTCCTCATAGGTAACCTTCAAGGACTTATTCAGTGATCTACTATTGAATATGGGTTACACTCCCCGAATTGAAAAAAAAAACTACATTTATTACTCAATTTTTCATTACAATTACTCGTTTACTGAATGTGGTGCAGAAATGAGCACTACGTTAGTTTATAGCTGAGGATAAATCATAAGGCTTTGTCCCTAACAATTTTCCTCTTTCGCATATAGTTTTCGAGATATTCAGCAACATATGCGTTTCCGGGTACTTACCCAACCAACAGTTTAAGAGAATTATACCAAGCAGAGAGGAGAAATTACTCGAAGAAGTCGAAATTTACTAATTTCCGACAAAATATTTTACCTTCATGCCCTGAGTAACTAGAATAAGTTATGGATTAGGTTGTAAAATGCCTGGTTAGGACCTCAACATTTTCAATAAAAACCATCAACTTTATAGACAAATTGCATAGTTGGAAACTACCCATTACAGACTTCAAACATAACTTCATGGTCCTAGTGAGCATTTAGTTATTAACATCAAAATTACCAGTAAAATGTCTTCAAGGCCCTCGAACTATATACCAGGATATTTATTGGAGTTAAAATTCACCAAATTCTAACTTCATAAACGTTAATGTAGTCAGGGAATAATCAGATGGAGAGAATAAGTCGGATTCATACTCTGTTTTGCCTATTTTTGACCAATTGAGTCGAAGGAGTTCCTTAGAATTTTTTTGACCTAATCAGCACCAACTTCATATCCGATGAAGGCAAGATTACCACCATGAAATCCTTATAGAACGAAGTGTCCTTGAGAGAGCCGAGAATACCAAAATTAATCCTAAAATCATGTTCTCAAAGTTGATGGCGATTATTGACCCTGGAGCTTTGAGGTCGGCAAATGTTTCGAAATGATCATTAATTTCTGAATATATTAAAAAACTGGAGACAAGCGCAATATATGAGGTTTGAATGTTTTATTCTTCATTACCAGTGAGTGGTTCAGGTAGCTTACCGCTTCTGAAGCAAATCATGATATCTTTCTATACATTACGATGATGTTTGATCAACTAAACCAGCGATTTGTTTTGACATTCGAAGTTTTACTTCCACTTATTCCATTGGTCAGATCAGAATGCATATTTTATAACTTTTATAGAAAAAAAAACAGGTATCAATTATTACACTCCGGTTGAGAACGTACAAAAATGGCAAATGTACTAAAAGTGTACTAGAACGGCAACACTGTTTGAAAGATGACAACACGGCGATGGACTTTTCTGATTCGCTGAAAAGTGAAGCCTGTCATCCAGCGACCAATTAGAAAACATACCGTGGTGCAGAATAAGAAATTGAACACGAACAACAAACATTTGACAAATTATATGATTATAGGAAACATCTAATAATATTAATCCATCAGGTTGACTGCTACTCAAATAATATACTCGTTGATATAGTCTAAAATCCCAATATGAACAAATTGGGCTCCATACTCAGAATATACAGAATTTTCGACTATGAACGAAGCCTATTCGCCCTCAAAGTTAAAGATTCTGGAAAATTCGACTTTCAAGTTCAATATGAAACCGACGCCATATTTGTTGGCTCGAACCTTTTTTGCCATTGAAGAAAAAAGAAGGAATCTTTACATAGCGACCACATCCTAATGAATAGTAAAGGTTGAATTTCGCATACATGATCATATTCTACCAGTTGATTCATTTTCAGATGGAATTGTTGAAAAATAATTCGAAAACACAAAGAATATCATCCAGTATTTTTCTACAAATCCAATTATTTCGTGGGCCCACTAATTTTACATGAGTAAAATCAACATTATCACATTCAATTTTGCATCGCAGGTTGAATAACGATTCACAACAACCTCAAATAAGCTAAACAACATGCATATTATCTACACCTTCCACTACTATCAAGTTTTCTTTTGAACGCCATGCTCACAAACTCCTAAGTCTCCACACGTGAATGAGTAGGTATAGTCGATCGTGAAACACGGTACATATTTGTTTTCCGAATCCAACCAAATGACAAATGACAGTAAACCAGACCTAGCAACCGCACCACAGCCTTCTCTCCATCGGTATCCACTCAGTACCCGTATTGAGAAAAAACTGAGTTCTTAGCAATTATTACTCGGTTACTGTATGTTGTGGAGAAATGAGCACTACGTCACTTCGTAGCTGAGGATGAATCGTTAAACTGTTCTTGCACCGGTGGGAAACTTCCAGTGTATCGCGTCTTTCTTATTCCAGTCAGTGTCTCATTTTCGAATTAAATCTGACAGCTTTTAAATAAACTTTTCCGTCGACCTCGTATTAACGACTAAGTTTAATGTATATGAAATAGTTCATCAATGACCCCTATTAATGAACGATTTGTCTATTAATACACGATTGTGTTATAGGCAACCAAACATACACCGCGTGCATTCATTGTATCTGCTATAACTTACGAAATCTGCATTTAAATCGAAAATATGGATTTCATCGAAGATTTTCCGTTAACGGGTTCGCCTTTCCAAGTTTCTGACACGATATTAATCCCTGTTTTCTAACACAAGGAATTTCCAATGTTGATCATTTCGACAAATGTCAAATGTGTCTAATGTCGGTAACAAGGCTATATACTGGGTGATTCTTAGCAGTTTCCGGATGGATGATGATTTGGCGAACCAAGTTTTCTTCATTGCAGGAGAAATGAGAAATATAGTCGACGGAAAAATTTTGTAACCAACTTGTATATTAAAAGGCGATTAATGATCTCGAACATTAACGAACTCGCTTCGCTCGCACGTTAAAATATCTCGATCATTAATCGCCCTCATTAATACACTAGTTGGTTAAATAACTATTTCATGTCATAACAAGATAGTAGCAATTATGGCTCTCTAACAAAACTAGCTTACGAGAAGCAACAACTGTATCCCTTTAGGTTTATTAACAGCTATGATGTTATGTGTGATAATAATATACAAATGATATATTCTTTGAATTCAGATTGACGAGCGCCATCAAATTATGAAAAATAATATAGATCATTTCATTTGAAAAAAAAAATGTTTCGTAAAAAATTATTCTAGAAAAGATTTCGAATGACGAGAATATGTCAAGAATCATGAGGATAAAGGGGGGGTGACACCTTTAAGTGAGGCACCCTGTACAATATAAAGAAAAGATATATCGACAATTCGGAATGACCTGAAAAAAGACTACATTATTATTATTATGGTACATCAAGCACCAGACTGACTTTCTTAACTTACCTCCCTGTCAAGTTCTTTTGAGGTAGATATTTGCTTCGATAGCAGATATGCTTTCGACACTGATAACGTCACTTCCGAACGTTCGACTCACATCGAACTTCAAATAGGATCATAGCTTCTCAATTTGTGTATCACAGAACCTGCGAATAAATACAGGGTGTTACAGTTTCGATCTGTCAAGCTTCAATATGTTATACTCATGAAACGAGAATATCATAATGTCAGAATGGATAATTCAATTTCGTGATCGAATTCAAGATGCGTATCGATTGCAGTTTCCCAAGACTCTTTTCAGGGGCCCAAATTCTGTGAAAAAGTTTCAAGTTATTTTCTGCTGATGACACTAATATTTTGATATCTGTGGAAAACATATCGCAAGTGGTTGAAAGAGCTCACAAAAAACTTCACAAACGATGATATTTCCACAAAATTCTTAATCAGACGACATGTTTCGCTAACACAGTAGCTCCTTGGGGTCGAATTTACTCTTATTCAGTTCATAGAACGGAAGGTTTGGTAAGAAAAATAAAAAACCATTCATGCCATTCTAGTTCTCACTTTTATAAACCCTTATTTCCATAGATACAGTACCTCGTCACTCTCATTGAATCACCTGGTTCATTATAATCTATAGATTCACTATTATGATCGCTATTGGAGGTAGATGGAAGGTATTCAGCTATTGGGTCTTAGGTTGATTTTCCCTGAATGGTTCGCTGTATTGAAATGAACTAGGAGAATCTGTTTGACGTGAAAAACTCTAGAATTTTATGATTTCCAAACGAAATCACAATAATCTGAATATCAAAATGACAAGGGATGTTTTTACACTTACCCTCCCCCGCATGTCACGCCCCTGGACAAAAATTTGCAATTTTGAATTCAGAGTCTTATTTGAAATCAACTGTTTATGCCGTACACCAATTTTCGAAGATTTATTGTGAAGAATTTCAAAGTTATAGAGAAAAAAAAATTCTTTGAGGTGTTCTATTCAAAGGGGCATAGCTCCCTTATGAAGCATTTTCGGACCCCTATCGATGGGAACTTTTTGCCTTATTTTTATGCAGGGAATGCAAAAGATGCCGCTTACTTTTGAATCACCCTGTATTTTATAGAAAGTGATGTTTGATGTCATAATAGTTGTCAGCATTCCAGTCAAATCGATTTATTATATTTATTATAACATTTTACACAGACCATCAAAAAATATTCTACGTACCCACTGGATTTTCATCTCCTTCTTTTAGTTTCAAAACGATTTCTGTTAGACCGTCTTTGATGAGTCTGGGTGGTTTATTACACTGAGAAAAATTCACAGTTGAACTAAATATCTGTACCATCACTAGCACACAACACATTGAATTTTATCTTGACGAAATGTCCACAAAATGCCCTAAGAAAGTTTTTTCACTCCATTTGGCAGTCGTATCTATCTTAAATAGCCTGTTGAATCAGGATATTTGTTTTTGAACCATTTTGTCTGTTACCAACTCAGAACCGCTCAACTGAATAAAAAGACATCCTTGTTAAAAACATAACTTCCGAACACCTGTTCATGTTCATAATATTCAATGAATTCCTAGATTATTCTTGATTCGAAACTTCATTAATCTATGTAAAATTTGTACAGGGAAGGGAACAAAAAGATTAAAAAAATCGATATTGTCATATATAAGAAATAAACAAAGTGTTGATTTCCTATTATCACTTCTTGAGTCATAATCGAATACACTTATATGTAGTAATATCAAAAGTTGAAGAACTATAACATTTCTCTATAATCCAAATATCCACCCTGTGACTTGGATTTTTTCGTCTGAACATGTTTAGTCAATAATATCAAAGTTTTTTGGCAGTTGAGGAGAAACGAATTCAATATTCTGAACATTCTTGGTTTTAAAGGGATGGTCTGAGGATATCCAATTGTTTGGCATGAAACCACGACAGGTACCCTTTCGAGGGGAGTGTACCAACTCTTGGCGTCTGTAAAGCCTCCCTACAAAAGAGGTTGTCGCCTTCTCATGCGTTAGGTATATCCAGTGATTTTCATAAATGTCATTGTTGCCTGATCTTCAGGCCTATCAACCCTTTTCTAGAAAATCTCGGTATTTCTGGAAGTAGTTTTCTCAATAAGATTTTTTCCATATACATTCCTCTTTTCCAAATTTTTCTCTGCAGCTGTCAAGAAATTATGTCATTCAAACTTGGTAGGTATACGCGAGATCAGACATTTGTTGGTTGTCGAAGTCATTTAACTTGCAATAATGGTACCGTACAAAAAGGTGCAACTTTCCACAATTGAATCCTTATAGTGCACGCTATTCGTGGACAATAGTGTGGGCATCCATACAATACGATAAAATGATTAGTCAACGAAGAGCAATTGATTTTACATCTTATTAATTCCGTGTCATTAAGTTTTCCTCAAAAATACGGAATTGGACCTTATTCAGAGCATGAATCAAATAAAGATCTCAGACAACGATTTTTATCATCAAGATGATGGGTTTGAATATCAGATTATCAAAACCATAGTGGGAATCTTTCCTTCAGTGGACATAAAGTTGGTGCTAATTAGGTTGAAAAAAGGTTAAGAAACTGATTCGACTCAATTGGTAAAAAATAGGTAAAATAAAGTTGAAAGTTCGGCCCCTTCTGGAAGTGTTCTCCGAAGTGATTCATATTATCATTATTATTATCATTATTTTTATTATTATTATTTTTATTATGTTTATCTGAACAGCATTTTGCGAAAGTATAAATAATCATTTACTCAGAAACTTTGAGGTCAACAAAAAAAGTAAACTTTGTTTTTTTCGAACCATAATTTTCTATGGAGCAATTGAACGTTCCAAAAATTAGCAGAAAATGAAAAAAATTTAAGCCGATCCAGTTCATTCGGAATGGTGCGATTTTCTGAATGTGTGGAGGTTCGAAAGCATAGAACTATAATATGAAGGTAGTTTTCCTGCAAAACAATAATTCCTAATATAAATTTATGTAATATCGGCCATTTATATATTTTCAGTGTGATAGCTGAGATATAGGGGGAGGGCCATCCAAAGTGAGACACTATATACGCTAAGTTCGCTCATCAAACTTGAATTAGGAACAAACTCAATAGGTATATTCGTTATACATATAGTCTTAAAATTATTGTACACAACAGTAATATATAGGATCCCTAATTAATGCTCAATATTTGAATACTTGATATATCATATATTCATTGAGCTCGAAAATTATTATTATTATTATAGTCTATCTATTCGCTTCCATTGGAAATATTTTTCGAAGATCTTGTTGTTTCAAGTACTTATCATTTATTCTATATAAACGCTATTCACGACTCATACTTATAGGGTGTCCGGAGATAAAACCGACGAAATCAATGGAGTTATAGGGACTGCCAATATGATTTCGAAATGCTATGTACAAATGTCCGAAATCGCTTCGTTACTGACATACACTAGTGCGGGAAATTTTTTCCCGCACTAGTGCGGGAAAACAAAGATATGATATAATCGCTAGTAATATAAGTGGTTGGTGATGGAATATAAAAGTTTAAGATTGTTTGTTGCAGTATTGACTATGTATGTTTAGAATCATCCATCAAATTGCACTATTCATTGTAAAAATTAAGAAATATTGAGAAATAAAAATGGATTATTTTAAAAATCCCCCTATAGATTTGGATTGAACTGACGGGAAACGTCAATTTGTCATGCCAATCAAACCTCAAATAAGTTTGAAATTGTCGAAGTGACAGACACAGCGTTACTGTCATTTTCGATTCAGTGGAAATGCCACAATGTGATCGAAAACTTTTAGCTATAGGAATTTGATACAGATGCGTTAATATCACCAACGAAGTCTTAAGAAAGGTATGAGAAGCTATACACGCGTTTAATTGAATGGTGCAACAATAAAGAAATGAAAAAACCGAATGAAGAATAGGTATTTTTGGCTCATTCCATAGAAGTGTCTGGAACCTAGAGACCAAACTCCTAATGGGCCTGCTGGCTTCCGCAATGAACCAACATAATGCGTCAAACTGTAAGTTCACAATAGCTATTACTAATAATTAATAGATAGAGAATATATATCTCTTGTTAGTTGTTCCTATTTGCTTGAATAATTAATTGAACGATTCAATCAATTTCCTACGCTTGTAGAAAAAATATTGTTCCTAACTCATGCGGAAAGTGTCTTTCCCGCACTCGACTGCTTGCCCGAACTCCGCTTCGCGTCGTTCGTGTCAACGGCAGTCACGTGCGGGAAAGAATCACTTTCCGCACTTGTTAGGAAAATTACTATTTTCTACAAGCGTGCGTGATTCACCCTATACCCGCACGCAATTTAGTTTGGGAAGTGTCATTTTCCCGCAACAGTACGGGAAAATTTTCCCACACTAGTGCGGGAAATTTTTTGTTGCAGTATTAAGTATGTATGTTTAGAATCATCCATCAAATTGCACTATTTATTGTAAAAATTAAGAAATATTGAGAAATAAAAATGGATTATTATAAAAATCCCCCTATAGATTTGGATTGATCTGACGGGAAACGTCAATTTGTCATGCCAATCAAACCTCAAATAAGTTTGAAATTGTCGAAGTGACAGACACAGCGTTACTGTCATTTTCGATTCAATGGAAATGCCACAATGTGATCAAAAACTTCTAGCTATAGGGATTTGATACAGATGCATTAATATCACCAACGAAGTCTTAAGAAAGGTATGAGAAGCTATACACGCGTTTAATTGAATGCTGCAACAATAAAGAAATGAAAAAACCGAATGAAGAATAGGTATTTTTGGCTCATTCCATAGAAGTGTCTGGAACCTAGAGACCAAACTCCTAATGGGCCTGCTGGCTTCCGCAATGAACCAACATAATGCGTCAGACTGTAAGTTCACAATAGCTATTACTAATAATCAATAGATAGAGAATATATATCTCTTGTTAGTTGTTCCTATTTGCTTGAATAATTAATTGAACGATTCAATCAATTTCCTACGCTTGTAGAAAAAATATTGTTCCTAACTCATGCGGAAAGTGTCTTTCCGCACCTGTTAGGAAAATTACTATTTCAGATTTTTGCAGAATGTCGTATGATATTATTGCGATAGGGTATCCTGGAGTGCAAAAACAACAATAAGGACTATTAATCCCTCGCCAATTTCCTGAGTAAATAATATATGGCATTTTGCTTCAAAACCCACAAGTATGATATCAATCGATATTAGTTGTAAATAAAGTATAGTATACTTCTCGCTATGATACCTAGCTTCCAATCTCTCGGAATGTTATAATACTCTCTCGCCTCTAACGTGAATCGGTTCGTGAATACATATTCCCCGCTATTATACGAGAATAATAGCTATCATTAGTAACTCGTGGTATAATCTATTATTATTCAATCTGTTTGAATCTTCTCCTGGAGATGCTAACATGGCGAAACATCTCTCAAATAGTTTGAAGAATTGGTTTGGTTAGTGATGAAGGGTGAAACAAGATCGGGTGATAACGTGAAACGTGACCTGGCATTTTGCTTGATACATTGTCAATACTCCACATCCGGATATTGTAAATCAATGTATGCATGTTCCATCTTGTTAATTCTCAAGGAAATGAAAAAAGGATTCCTCATTATATTCGTGGTTTCGGAATCTTTTCAACTTTCGGATGTGGAACCATGCTTCATCGGTGAAGATATCTACATTGTTCTGATCTTACCAAAAGCGTCTGGTAAAATATATCTCGATCTTTTCATAAAAAATTGACTTTTGAATCACATATTAGAGCTGTTGTTGAAAAAGCACTCCGCACTCTGGGATTTATTCTGAGAAGAACTAAAGAATTTCAAAATTATTTATCAGTTACCACTTTATATGAATCATTTGTCAGGCCTATCCTTGATACTGCTCTACCATTTGGAATCCTGTGTATGACAAATATATAGCAACTTAAGTTTCTATAGAATAGAGAATCTCTTTATTGGAAGAGACTTCGTTGACTTATTATTCATTCACAAGATCTTCAACAATCATATCGAATCAACAGCATGTACTGGATTCCTGATTCCTGAGCTTGAATTGTAATCCAAGAATGGTTAGGAATAGACTTACTTTGTACCCACCTTTTTTCCCAACTAATTATTATAGTAATTCACCTCTGATAAGATGTATGAACACGTACAATACAATTTGCCACTCTAATATTGATATACTTCACCTTGATCTTAAAAGATTTCAGAAACAACTGAGAGAATTCTTGTTGAATTTCTATAGCATTCCTTGAATATAAAAATATTGAAATGCTGGTATTCATTTATGA